TGCGGCTTGTAGGCTTGTGGGATCTTAGTTCCCCAACTAGGGATTGCACCCAGGGCCATGGCAGTGAAAACACCTAGTCCTAACCACTGGACTGCCAGGGAACTCCCAAAGTTCTATTTATTGATCCATGTGGTAGTTACAAGGGTGTTTGCCTGTCGCTAAGTTGTACATTTATTCTGTATGTTTTTCTGTTTGCCTTATTTTACAATAAAAAGGTTTTTTTTTTTTATTGTTGTTTGTCTTTTAAAGTGTGAACTCAGGAGTCAGCCACCTGGTTTCAAATCTCAGCTCTGCCACTTATAAGCTATGTCATCTTGGGTGAGTTATAAGACCCTCTGGGCCTCAGTTTCCTCATCTGCAAAATGGGGATGAGGTTACAGGGTTGTTTTGAAGACGAAACAAGCTAGTATACTTGAAGCCCTTGGAATGGTGCCTGGCACACAGTAAGCCTGATACAGGTTTTTGCTATTTTTATGATTATTGCATTGTTATTCCCTATGTCCCTATCCCTTCTCCCATGTGTCTTCATGCCTCTGTGATCCCCTCTCAAGGAAAGGGGAAGGGAGAGCCAAGCCTTGGCATTCTTTAATAACTGTGGCTGAACCTCTCATTGACAGTGACAAGATAATCACAGCTCAAGTCTGGGATCTGGCTCTATGATCAGGGAGTGACGATCTGCACAGTATGGTCCTTCAAAGCGGCACTGATGCTGTTGGCTGTGCCTGTGGCTTAGGCTGCAGGGCCAGAATGTCCCTTCACCCCTCTGGAGGTGCCTGCCACCTGCTCCAATGATCTTACTGATGTCTGTCTTTCCTCAAAAGAGGACAAAGGGGCTGAGTTTCATGATCAAGGGATGGGCTTTGGTGGTAACATGAACTTGCTTTGTAACCCATCTCTGCCATTTAGAGAAGTTAAGGGATATAGGTGTTAAGGGAGTCCCTCTTCTTCTTTGAGCCTTGTTATCCATAATTAATGATAATAATTGCACATACCTGGGGGGTTGTGGAGAAATAATCCATGCATAATGCTTAATAGAGGGCCTGGCTCAGGGCCTTCACACATGCTGTTCCCTCTGCCTGGAATGCTTTTCCCTGCATTCATTGAGTAGCTGTTGGATATTTCTCATTTCTTGGGGCTGGGCTTGAATGTTTCCTTGGCTTCCCTATTGAAGGAAGGAAGGAAGCCACTGCCACATCTCATTTATATTCTTTAGA